TAAATGATATACATGCAGTCTGAATCATAACAAATTCCCTTGTGCCTCCCAACAACTGCCAAAGGGTTGAAACATCCATTTTGGAAAATATGTCCCCAGCACATAGCTGGAAAGAACCTCAGAGACCTCTTGTTATACCTTAAAGAAGAATGACTAACAGCATTAATTGGGAATGAAGTTTTGTGGACTGCTATCCATCCTAGTTCAGGCCAGGTCTAGTCTTTTAAAGCACCAGTATGTATGTATGTATGCATTTGCTGCAACAGACCAAAAGTTCCACCCATGTCATATCTGAGAATATAACAAATGTAGAATCTGAAATGTTTGGGCAATTATATTCCAAATGTAGAATTTGTATTTCCACAGCATTCTGGACCAGGAGATCCCAACCTTTTTGACTCACAGAGCCCTTATGTCTATGGTGGAGCCCCTAAGAGGCCTACTTTATGTCTTACAAGTTAATGGTCTTATATCTAAGAATATAATCTTATTTAATTTCATTCACTTTTTATTTATTTCATTTTCCTGGAGTGGCCATGGATCATCTGGGAAGTGCATGCGGAGCCCTAAAGGCTCCTCGGAGCACAGGTTGGGAACCCCTGCTCTAGACCTCTCATCATCTCCAGAAATTTATTTATTTCATTTCATTTCATTTCCCCCAGTTTGAAACTCAAGGTGACTTACAACAGTTAAAACTCTTAATTCTGTCCTGCAGTACCCGCTCCTCAGCCGGGTGAAATGTTCATTCGAATCACCAACATCCACCTTCTCGTGGGCTTACTGTTGCTCCTGCTTCTCTTGTTCTCAACATGGAAAAGGTTAGAGACCTGCAACGAAGGAGGAAAGACCTCAGCTCCCACCAAGACCCATGTGCTGATCATCTCCAGTTGGCGCTCAGGCTCCACTTTTGCAGGGCAACTCTTTAACCAGCACCCTGAGGTCTTCTATCTGATGGAGCCGGCAAAACACATCTGGAACAGCATCCACTGGGGGAGCCCTGAGCTCCTCCAGGGAGCCCTGCGGGACTTGCTGCGCTCTGTCTTCCTGTGTGACATGCAGGCCCTCCGCTCCTACATCCCATACCCCAGCAAGGTCTCTCATCTTTTCATGTGGTCCATGAGCAGGGGATTGTGCTCCCCGCCAGCCTGTGAGGCCTTCAGCCGCTCAGACATCGTGGACAGGAACAAGTGCAAGGCCCAATGTGGGCATGCCCCTTTTGAGAAGATTTCGGAAGCCTGCGCTACCTACAGCCATGTGGCAGTGAAGACGGTCCGCCTCTTCCAACTGGAAGCACTGTTTCCTCTCCTGACAGATCCCATTCTCCACCTTCATATTATCCACTTGGTCAGAGACCCTCGGGCAATCTATGCTTCCCGCCAGTTTGTGTCTCTTCTCCCTGATGATCAGCTCATCGATAACTCGGCCAACAGTACTCCCAACACCCAGAAGATCATGTACAGGATTTGCCACAGCCAAGTCAACATCTACCTTGCAGCCTTGTACCGCATGCCTCTGGCTTTGAGAGAGCGCTATCTCCTAACACGTTACGAAGACCTGGTGGGAGACCCTTTGGGACACCTGGCCAAGTGGTACCATTTCACAGGCCTGACTTCCTCCCCTAGACTCCAGGACTGGGTCTACAACATAACTCACTGGCCTGCCAGCAGTGAGCAAACAGAGCCCCTGAGCATACAGAAAAATGCCAAACTCGTCTCCCAGGCTTGGAGGCATCAACTCAGCTTCCAAGAGGTGCAAGATGTTCAGGCCATCTGCAAGGAAGCCATGGAAGTCTTTGGTTATAAACCAATGACATCTGAGGAGGAACAGAGAGATCTGACATTGGACCCTGTCCTTCCTCTGAATAAAATGAAGTCTCCCACAAAAGGGCAACAAGTATAATAAAACAAAGGTGAATGGGAAGGGTGAAATCTCCCTCACCCAGTTTTACTACCCACAGGGCTGTTTGAGAAAAGGAGGAACTCAGTGGGCAGTAGGAGGAACACAGAGAGCTGTCTTACATTGCATCAAGTCACTAGTCCAATAACCCTATATACGGCAACGCTAACTGGCAGTGGTGGTTCTGACAGTAAGAGCAATTCAACATTGGAGCACACTCCCTCGGAGAGTGGTGAAGTCTCCTTTGGAGGTTTGTAAACAGAGGCTGAATGACCATCTGTCAGGATGCTTTGATTGTGTATTCTTGCGTGGCAGGGTTGGGACTGGATGGCCCTTGAGGTATCTTCCAACTCTTATGATTTTATGATTCTCCAGGGTTTCAGAAAGATTACGTCCCTCTTCTATCTGGAGATGTCAGGGACTGAACTTGGGAGCTTCTGCCTGCAAAATAAGTGGTCTGTCTATGTTGCTCCTCCCTGTTCACTTTGGGTGTGGACAGTCTCTATGAGACTACTTACCATCATGCTCCAAGTCAAAACCATTTTAATGTTAAAAGCAGAGTGTTCCCAACTCCTGTTGCAATGAGGTGGAAAGAGTTCTTTGACTTCTTTCCCACCTCTTTGTCTGCAATGTTGTTGATTTTTTTTTTTTGGTGTGTGTGTGTGTGGGGGGCTATATAATTTCTCCTTTAGCTGGTGTTTGCCATACTGAATAAAAATCCAATTACCTCTACACTTCATCTTAACCATAAGGCCGAGAAGCGAAGCACACACATCTTGTTGGTGTGTGCCTCCAAGTTGTTTCTGAGTTATGGCAACCCTAAGGTGAGCCTGTCACAGGGTTTTCTTGGCAAGATTTGTTCAGAGGGGCTTTTCCTGGGAGGCTCACCAACCCATGACAGGGAAGCCAGTGGCCATATAACCATATAATGAGACCAACCAACTGCTCAGAGCACGAATTTTGCAACTTCATTATTCCTGATAGATGTCATCTAGCTTCTGTTTGCTTTAAAAAATAAATGTTTATTTTTTAAAAAATGGTGGCCTCTCCTTTCTCTTCCCACTGAGCCTTGACCTACTCACACCATCTTTTCAGCATTTTAAAGGGATGCAGGTGAATGCCACAGCCCATTTCTGCCAAAAGGCAGATATTTGGGGAGCAGTGGTGTCAACCTTGACTTGATTTGACTTTACTTGACTTGAGACTTGCATATTTTTAGTGACTGACTTGCTGATGCCATTCAGATCGAGCAGATGGCAAAACCCGCCCCATAGTGCAGAGTGCATTTCTCCCAAGGGAACAGCAAATGTGTTAGGCAATGGGCTTGAGGCATAAACTTTTTCAAAAGCTTTAGAAGGCTACACTAATGTGCAGCCACCAAGGAGACCTCAACCCCAAGACCATAGCCTAACACATTTGCTGTTCCCACCAAGAAATGCACCATGCCTCTGTTTCTTCTGTTAAAAGTTGGCTCCCAGACTTGACTTGAAAGTATCTTGCAAAGACTTCAGACTTGACTTGAAACTCTAACTTGTCTTGAGACTTGGACTAAAAGACTGGAATACATCACTGCATTTTTGACAGAAACATTCACAGTTCCACAGTTCCCATGACCCTGTAAATTACGAGATTATGGAAATGACTGTACAGTCTAGGAAATTCTGGGAGCTGTTGTCCAAACTGTTTCTAAACTGGCCTAATCCCCCTTTCAAGCTCATTGAACCTCTGGCCGTAACTGCTTTGTGTAGCACTGAAGTTAATTATGCTCTGTTTGTCCTGCAATAATTTCATTTGTTTGTCCTGGATCTCCGGCCGGTCAGTCAGTTTATTAGGTGGTGCTGACTTACAGTGTCATCAAAAAGAAAAAGAAAAAAAGAAGCACAGGGGGTGGAATCATATTTATAAAGCCTTCAATCATATACCCACCTTTGTGTTGTCTTTTTTTTAAAAAAAAATTAAACTTACATCTCTAACTAGCAGAAGATAAATGGGGAGAGTAGGAAACAGGGAGACCAGATGTAACAAAAGACAAGGCCCTTATATGTATAATCAGCATTTTGGAAGAGGAAATTTCACCAGGTTCAGCTTTCCTTGCCCCTGCCTGATAAAGTGAACAAAGTAAAATGATATCTTCTGTACATGTACTAAAGCAAAGATACAGCACACCGCAATCTTGTTAGATTACAAATCTCACAGTTAACTTATCATTTAATGATTATAAGATGTCCATAAAGCAAATTTAGACATCTAGACATCTACTATAAACTGGAAAAATATAATAAAATAACAAGCTCTAAAAAGATAACACAAAAGTAACACACACAAAATATAAAAGCAGACAGTGTTGTTCAGTGGGTTTATATGCTGTGTGCCTTCAAGTCATTTCTGACGTATGGTGACCCCAAGGTGATTCTATCACGGGGTTTTCTTAGCAAATTTGTTTAGAAGGGGTTTACCTTTGCTGAGGCTGAGAGACTGTGACTTGTCCAAGGTCTCCTAGTGGGTTTCCATGGCTGAGTGGGATTTGAACCCTAGTCTGTAGAGTCATAGTCCAATGCTCAAACCACTACACCATGCTGACTCTCAGATTTAAAAAGAAGACATGAAAACAAACCATAAATAAATAAAGTAAGGGGGGTTGCAGACTGCCATAAATAGTGCAAATTGAGTCCACTTTTAGGGTTAGGGTTAGGGAATCATGGGAACTGTAGTTTATTGTGGCACCAGAGCTCTCTGACAGAGAAGGCTCAATGTCTCAGAAAAAAAATTCCCATGATTCCCTAGCACTAACCCTAACCCTAAAAGTGGACTCAATCTGCACTATTTATGACAGTCTGCAACCCCCCTAAGAGTTAATCTACCAGCCAGTACTAAGGATTAAAACAGCAGAGATGTACCAAAGGCCTGAAAGAAAAACAAAGTCTTAATCTGGTGACAGAAGGAAAATAATACTAATGCCAGGCACATTTCCTCAGTAAGAATGTTCCATCTCCAGATGCCACTACCAAATAGCTCTAGGCTGTGTGGTGGGCATTCTGAGATGACATTATGGAGATTATCAGACCCGGGGAAATCAGGGAAGAAAAAGGCATACTCCCAGGATAATTGCACAGTTGCACTGAAAATTTTCAGACAGCATCACACTTATCCAGGACTTATCCTAGGAAGAACCAGGAATGCTCCAGCAACAAACCATTCCCAGGACATCCCGGGAATGGTTTGTTGCTGGAAATTTCCTGGATCTTCATGGGAGAAGTCCTGGATAAGCGCAAAGTGTCTGAAAATCTTGAGCGCGATCACACTACTTTGCCAGGAGTGTGCCTTTTACTCCTGGCCTTTTCTCCAGGTCTGAAAATCTCCTACCACATGGGTAGGTGTAGTGGCATACTGGTAGGCTGTTGTACTTCAGCCACATCACGAGAACTCCTTAGAAAAGATGATGATGTTGGGGAAGGTAGAAAAGTAGGGGCTTTGCAGACTGGCCTAAAGGGCTGGCCTAGGGGTAGAGTTGGGGTGGGGCAGCCACACACCAGCCGCCTTAACTCCACCCTGATGCCGTCCTGACGCCATGTGCCCGTCTGCATGGCGCGTGCCGTCAGGACACCCTCCTGGCGCAGCGTGTACACACATTGTGCCAAAAAGGCACAGAAGAGTCGTGATGTCAGCTCTTAGGGCAGCCTTTTGCCGCCCCTAAAAGGAGCGGCAAAAGGGAGGATCAGGGCTGCCGCGTGCGGTTGCCGCAGCCCTGATCCTCCAGTCCCAGGGGTGGCTCTGTAGAGGCTCATAGAAAGAGAGGAAGATCCCATGCCAGATGGATGGCCTCAGTTAGGGAGACCATGGATCTGAGCCTGCAGGGCCTGAGCAGAGAGGTAGAGGATAGGGGGGCTTGGAGATGTCTCACTCACAGGGTCGCCATGAGTGGAGATCAACTCAAAGGCAGCTAACAACAAACAACAACAAAGACATAGTGATGGCTTGTAGTTTCCATGTCAATGGAGCAGTGACTCTGTTTTGCATTTTAATCTGAATTTTAAAGAACTCTTCAAGATACTGGTCCAATAGGAGGAGAGGTTAGGGTGCAGCACCTTGGATAATTCCTTTCAAGTCTGGAGTAAAATCCTACTGATATGGAACCACAGCTGCCACCTGATAGGCACATAGGAGAGCCTTTGCTCTGAAAATGCATAACAGCTGCCTGGTTAGCTCTAACCTGGGTATATATAATCCAACTGGATCTAGCCCACAGTGACAAGGCGGATACTTTTGGGCATTCACAGATTGAGCATGAAGGAAACATCATGATTATGACAATGATTATGATTTTAATCATTTATATTCTGCCTTTGGTGGCCTAAATAGCCTAAAAACACCAGATCCTGTCTGATCTTGGAAACTAAGCAGGGCCAGCGGCTGGTCAGTACTTGTATGATAACCTGACAATGAATACCAGCTGCTGTGGGCTGTATTTTAGAGGAAGGAAATAGCAAAATCACTTCTGAGCATCCCTCGCCTAAGAAAATCCTAATTCATGGGGGTGCCCTAAGTTGGCAGGCAACTTCATGTACACAAACATATACACACACAAACACTTTGCTTAAATAAGGGGGCTTAAGGCAGCTTGTTGTTGTTGTGTGCCTTCAAGTTGTTTCTGATTTATGGCGACCCTTACGCAAACCTATCATGGGGTTTTCTGGGCAAGAGTTGTTCAGAAGAGGTTTGCCATGGTCTTACCCTGAGGCAGAGAGAGTGTAACTTGCCCAAAGTCACTCAGTGGGTATCATGGCCAAGCTAGGAATCGAACCCTCGTCTTCAGAGTTGTTGTCCAGCACTCAAACTACTACGCCAGGCTGGCTCTCTACAGAACATTAAGACCAAAATAGATTAGAAACATAAGTAAATGTCAGTATGTGTGTGTGTGTGTGTGTGTGTGTGTGTGTGTGTGTGTATATATAGTTTAATAAGCAATTTAACAATCTGTAGAATAAACCACTTGACAACAAAACAGCACACCATTAACGAACCCATTGCAACGAGTTCCTAAAAGCATGTTGGAATAGGAACGTTTTCACATGGCAGCAGAAGTAAGGCAAGGAAGGAGCCCAACTGGCCTTCCCAGGGAGGTAATTCCAAAGTCTGAGAGCAGCCACCAAGAAGGTCCTTGTACCCACAAACCATACCTGGGAATACAGTGGGACTGAGAGAAGGGCCTTTCCCATCTTAGAGCCCTTTGTCTTTAACACTTAGGGGCAGGCGGACTTTATTTTTGGATGTTTCATTTACAGGCCATGGCTAACTACCCATCACAGATCCAGACACCATTTAAAAAGGTCCCACCTTTTGCAAAAAATCAACTATTTGAGTAGTCATCAGGTTTAGAGTTCTCACAATCTTTTGCCAGCAGGACCAGTGGTCATCTTAGCAGGGGGCTTCTAGGAGTTGTAGTACAAACAATAACTTTCCCAAGATTTCCTTTTTAACCAGCTTCCTTGGGAGATTTCAAGTTCTATTGTTTGGAAGGGAGGAAGGAAGGAAAGGGGAAAGCCCACTTTCTCCATCTTTCCACAACCTTTCATAAGTTCTACAAAGCCACCTCTGGCTCATCTACTCCACCTTTGTTGTCTTTTGTGCTTAAACAGAAAAAGTTCCCAAACCCAAACGCCACTGTAACCCCTTGATCAAAAGGAAGCTTGATCAAATAGCTTGACAAAACATGCCTGGAAAAGGACACTGTTATTGAATACAAAGGCTTTGTGAGAGGTAGGATTTTGGCTCCAGGGTCACCTCCTGTACTGCCCTGCTGGTTAAACACTTGACTTAGAATAAACTGACTTGTTTGTTAAATGGCTTGTGGCCTTTGGATCTTAAGAAGCATTGAATTTGTGTTGGCAGCTTTTGCTGGGTGTGTGACGCTATATACATGGAAGGCAGGAAGAGTAAATAGTATACAGTATATGCGGAAAGTGGGAATAATAACTTTTTCATTAAAGCCGACTTCTATGTTTCCCTGAAGATTCCACTAACAGACATTCAATCACCATAAGTATAGCCCGATTGTTTTGTTAGATTCTGCCTCCCAAAATCTCTGCCAACTTTTCAGTCTGTTCTTAAAACAGCACTATTGCTGTCTTCTACTGCTAGATTGG